CCCCCCGCCCCCGGAGGGCCCAAAGGTCCCACCTCTCGCAGGGCTCCAGCGGGCCTCCTTTTCCCTTGCAGGGACGGCAAGCGGGTTCGTCTCGTGTCTTCAAATACCGTGGAGGAATAATGAAGCCGTTGATTTAAAATGTAACCATTTATTTAAAATACAATTTATAAAATGTTTTCCTCTATATGTCCAAATGTTTGTGGGCTGGTGTTGCTTCTTTGCGTACCAGACCAAAAGACCCAAACACTAAAGTGCCCTACGGGAAACACACACATACAGAGAACTTTGCCCGTCACTTTGGGAGCAGAAGGAAAGACCGACTCTCTCTCTCTACTCCCTCGTGGCAGACGGAGGAAAAAGGCACCCTCTCCCTGCCTACAGGCAGGCAGGCAGGTCCACACGTGGGAATGGGCTGACAGGAGAGTGCCTGCTGTTGTGTGAAGAGAAAGAAAAGCTCCTTGGCAAGGAAGGAAGGAAGGAGGACAGTGAGATGATGAGGATAAAGCAGAGTAGAATGACAAAGACATGGTGAAAAAAAAAGCCCTTCTTACATCTCTTCCATTTCATTTTCAGAAGAAGCCTCTCCTTCTCTCCAACTCCAAATCCACACATTTTTTTTTTAGAAGTCTGTTGCCAGATGTTTCCCAGGACAGTCCGGCAGGAAGAACAGACCCTTTTACACCTACGTGAAAGAAAAAGGAGACCCAGCCCTTGGCAGGGGCTCAGCAGGCCTTGGATCTGAAGGAAAAAGGGGAACACATTCAACACAGCAACAGCCGGTCACATCTTTTGCTTTTTGTACACAGGGAGCTTTATTATTATTGTTACTCTGCTGACCAGCATTGTGTTCTGAAGTATTCTTGTACATGTCTTGTTTTGTCTCACAAAGACATTCCCTCCCCTCCCCTCCCACCCCTAGGCAAAAGTTCCACTTCTGATCAGAAAAAGAGGAGATGTTTCAGTGTGTCAGACACGCCACCCACATTAGTCAAAGTTAGGTCCTGTTCCACACCTAGCATGCCCTCCAAATTCAGAGAGTAGAACAAAAAGGCAGACTGGAAACACAGTGAAGCAAGCTAGCCCACGGTCCCTTGGAGGTGGTGCTGGAGGAGGGGGGCCTAAAGCCCACCCACCCAATATGGCTGCTAGAGAGGAAAGGGAAGGCCTGGCCGGTGGATCCACCTTTTTGGAGCATCTACAGCACAGCAGACCAACTTCACAACATGTGCCGTCTCTCCTGCTGTCCCAAAGCTTCCCCCCCACACACACACACACATTTGGCTCAACCGCCCTAGAGCTGCCTGGCTTGGCCTGACCTGGCTCCTGTGCATCTCACTATTTCTGCCAGGGCAAGACTAGCAGCGATGCTGCCCTCAGTTGCCCTGCATTGCCTATAGGATTCCTCAGTGCCCGCTTTCCAAATATCCCCGCACCAAAGAGCAGGACCCTAACCCTTGCCCTGGAACCAACCCACACTGAGGGGAAAGACATCCGTTCCTGAGCCACAGCCACAACCCTCGGAACGCTGCTTGGGGCCCCATCCGCTTCGGTCACAAGCCTGCCCTTGCCCAGGACCAGAAGGACTCCCAACAGACTTGGAGCGGCAAGGCTAAATGTTGTCGGGTCAAGGAGGGCTCACAGATCAACAGCCACTGATTCCGTTATCAGGCCAGCACAAGCAATGGGCGCCCACTGGGCGGCCTCGCCCAAGGGCACTGGTGGGAGAGGAAACTAGTCTACTCCTAGCTCACGTTCCTAGCAGCAAAAAGCACCCCCTCAACCCTGCCTTGCCCTGCCCGCCCCCCAGGGCTCCATGCGACATGAGCAGACCAAGCCACTGCCGGTCCACCTTCCCTTCGTCCAAAGAAAAACAAGAGGAGCAAGGCAGTCCCTTCCAAACCTCATCCCACAGACATGGAAGCCCTGCCCTTCGGACTGCCCTGCATACGTGCAGGCAAGTCATCGGGGCTGCGCGAGGAGTTCCTCACGTGCCAATTTTACTTCAGCAGCCATCGTCCCCGACACACCTAGAGGCGCCCTGCAGCTGGGCAACTTCTACAGACTCTTGCTTCGCAGAGAAAGCCCTCCAACCGCTAACAGGGTCCCTTCTTCCCATGCCATCTCCTCCCCCAAAACAAACCAACGCAGAAAAAGAGGGGTGGCTGCAACCCCCTCAAATCCTTCTCAAAAGCCACAAAGTAAAGCACGCTTGCTGAAAGGCAGCACTCCGGCCACTCATACCCCAAACCTAGGCAAACCCACACGGATAAGTTATTATTGCTGCTGGGGCTGCCCTGGCCGGCTGGCGGGCACTAAGAGGGGAAAAGACACCAGCCCTGGTCGCCCTCCTGCCACCCTCACCAGCTGTCCTTGGTGCAGCAGTCCCCGCAGAACGCAGGGCTCACAGTGCAGGGGGCTGGAGGGCACAGCAGCCTGAGCAGAGGGGGCTCTTCTTCGAAGCACCCCAGAAGGAAGCCTCCTGCTCAGGTTCAGGTCGGTTTGTCCACTGTTGCTGCTGCTGCTGCCCCAGGGCAGCCCAGGATGGGGGAAAGAGCTGGCTCTCGCGCCGTGCGGCTGGCCGACCATTCCTATCTGCGCTGCTTGAAGCCATGCGAACCATCCGGGCCAAGTGGCTGCCGGATCACATTGCTGGCTAGACGAGCCTCTTCCGGATGGGTAATCCTGGTGGGCCTGTGAGAGCAAGAAAGAGAGACAGAAAGCGTAAGATTTCCCAGCTATGACGTTTCATCAATCCACATGCAGGTGGAGGCATCAGACAGGATGGTCTTTGGGTCAGGAAGGGCCACAGGGCCAAGCCACAGGTCTCCTCCCAGAGGGTGCAATGGAAGCCCCTCCCCCACCTTGCTAACCCTGAGGGGGGCTCCCCAACATTTCATCTACCCGACACAGAGCTTCACGGCGTCTGCAGTGGGCCAGGCGTGGATGGAGAACTGGGGGTCCTTCAACAGCTAGGCCTGGCTTTTGGACCCTGTGCCCAACACAACCAGGCACACCAGAAGACGTTTTGAGGCTCCGTGGATAGACCCCACTGGGCCCCATCCTGGCTGCAGCTCACCTGTCGAGGATGGGCTTGTCCTGCTCTTCCTCCTCAGGACTGGCGCTGCCCAGGATGCGCTTCCGGGCTTCTGCGTACTCAGCCTCCCGCTGGGCGAGTGACTTTACCGGGAAGGCAGGTCTGCTGGCTGAGTTCGGGTTGCTCAGCACCCCGTTGCTGGTTGGCCGTTTAAGGATCCGGATCTGTGGTGGGGGTCCTGTGGGAAGGCTGTCGTCCTGAATCACAATCGGCACTTTCGGGGGAGACTTGGATTTCCGGCTACTGAAAAAAAGAGAAAAGGTCAGTTCCTGACAAACCCAACCCAAATCGTTTCCCACTTTAAAGATCAATCAGTGTGGGAGATGGCTACCCTGGTTCCTTTTTCATAGCACAAAAAGACCCTCCCCCCTCCAGGCATAAGTATGCAGACAGATACACCCAGGTGTCGCTCGGCATGTGGCTCTCTGTCCTGCTTCTATAGTACTTCATGCAACATGAAATAAAACAGAAGGAAGACCTCTCCTCCCTCTGACTTCGTTTCATAGGGTGGCCAGCAGAACAGGCCAGATTTTCAAGCAAATCAACAGTGTTCTTAGTGGCAGAGTGCCATGCCCTGTCTCCTTCAGTCAACATTTCATTGTAAGTAACTTCTGGATCTAAGAGAATCTCCCCAATGGCTGTCTTACCTTTCCTTCTGGGTGATTTTCAGTTTCTTCTCCAAACGTCTGTCTATTTCCTGCAAAGAAACAGGACTGAGTCAAAAGTCATTTCAAACATATTGAAAGCTACTTTGCTTTCAATCGCCATTCAGTCCAAACCAGTTATCATCCAGCCAGTCCAGAGCAAAGCTCCTTCTACATGGCTCAACCACCTTCCATGACCACAAGTTGACCTACAGCCTTGGTGCCGACCAAAATATTTCCAGAAAAACACAGAAGGATGCTGTGGCATTTGACAGCAGTTCTCACCTTCCAGGTATCATAGAACCTTTTTGTTCTATCAGCCACAGAGAAAGGCAGCTGCCCGCTTCACAGTGAAGAAGAAGGGAAAGGGGGAAAGGCAACAACGAAACAGCCTCCCCCCCCCCCAAAAAAAGAAAATTATTAAGGCTGTCTGCAGAGGAGACGGGAGAGAGTCCCTGGAAAGAAAGCCCTGCTCTGCTCATCCATGCTGACGTGGCTCCAGATCTCTTGCGCTCGCCTGACATCAGATCTGCCTACGACTATTTCTGCCACTGGCTCTAATCTATCACCCTGCAACACAGCTGGTCACAGTTGGTTAAAATTAGGGTCTGACTGACTCACTGCCCGAACAGAGTAACTAAGACCCATTAAAATAAAATGGCTGCATGGATAATTGCAACACACTCATGCATGGCCACACCTTTGACAGGTAGATGGGCACATTGAGGGGTTCTCTGCCATATTGATGCACGCTAGCAAAGGAAACAACTCTCACCACCAGCAGAAAGAAATTGTGCCCAATCACTGCTTGCACATACTTCTCATTTTCCCACCAGACAGGCACCAGGCCTGTTTCCTGATGCCCCTTCCCCTTCATGCTCACTGGCGTGCTTATCTGTGCAAGCATCTCCAGGGAGAATTGAAATAAAAGCGCACAAAATACAAAAACAAATCCCTGGGACATCTTAAAGACTAACTATTCTGCTTCAAGATAAGCCTTTGTGGATCAAATCCACTTCCTCAGACCTTGCCTGTGGCTTCTTCTTCTTCTTCTTCTCTCTCTCTCTCTGTCAGATAAAACAGCCATGCATCATCAGTCTACACAACCAGCCCCCACGTCTGCCACATGTGGGTCTCTGTCATGTGGCACTTCCCCAGCCAGACACCCAGAGAGACTCTCGCCCACCTTTTCTGATGTTCAGAAATTAAATCAGGTGTCAGACTTTGAACGAGGCAGCAATCTCAGTTCACCCTCGACGAGGCAGCTCTTGCAGGATGACTTTGGGGGAGCAAAAAGATCTCCTCTCCCGGTGTGTTCAAGCCTTCTGAAACCTCTTGCCCCAGAAGAGGCAGCTAAGCCTGTTCTGGGCATCTGAACGTTTGTCGCTGGGGCCTCTTTCCCCCCCCCGACACCCCACAAGGGCGAAAGGGAAAAGGAGGGTCCAGGCACAGGCCCTACGGCGGGGGATCAGGAAAG